AATAATAATAATAATAATAATAAACTGTTTTACAGAGCAGGAGGGACAAAGCTGCAGGCCTACTGAGCAAAATAATGCATTGATATATCCAGTCAGGTTTCAAGCATGTGTTTCTTTCTGGGCTGCGGGAGGAATAATCTGCTTTTGATTTAAGGGAAAATTCTTCTGATAGAAATCGCTGTGCACTGTGCAAAGCATTGTGAGGATTAGGACTCAGGTACAGCGAAAGATTTATCCAGTGGAGCGCCTCATCATTAAAAACTCTCCCACCCCACAAACCAGAAATCTGTGTGCAGCTACTGACCTGTACGATGTGTGGACCACGAGCTGTCCCAGTTGCTATGTTACTGCGCCACATGCATGTATGCATGCACTGCTTTTTAGTTTTGACTCATAGAAGTCCAACCACGCATCTCTGTAAGCATGGTACTGGTACCAGTCTATGTCTATGGTTTCTTAGTTCCAGATGTTGATTGTTTTACTGTCTGGTGTTCTTGGTTCCCATTAGGTTTTGAATCTTGATTCCAGTTTGTTTTCTATGAGCTCTTGTTCCTCCTCCTACACTACATTGCCAAAAGCATTCACTTGTTCACATGTACATGAGTAATACCACATTCTTAATCCATAGGATTAATATGTTGCCAGCACACCTTCAACTCTTCTGGGAAAGCTTTGCATAAGGCTTAGAAGTATTTTTGTTTTTATGAGACACCGATGTTGGATAAGAGGACCGGGCTCACAGTTTTCTGGCAACCACCAAACCAAACACCTGAATTTAGTGATTTGTTGGGTGGGTGAATGCTGTTAGCAATATAGTGTATGTCAAGTCAATAATCAGTAAATTCGCTTTCTGCTTTATTTGATAGTGGTTTGATCTTATATTGAGTTTTACTTCCTTGTCTTGTTGCTTTGATTAGTTTCAGCTGTGCTTCCTCATGCCTCAGGCCTGAAAAGGACAAATCAATGATTGAGAAACTCCCCTAAAAAAGGCTTCTTTGAACATATGGTTCACCTGTACCATGCAGCCTAGCATGCAGGCTGCAACTAAGAAACATAGCTGGGAAAGGGGGGGGACTGAAGGGTTTTTCCCCCCAAAACTTCTTATTTGTGTTATTCTTCTGCCATAATGACATTTGACTTATAGCTCCATCACTTGGCCGTTCATCTTGAGAAGTGTGCAAACTTCTTTTTTTTTTGTGCCTCTTCTGCAGGTACAGGTTGCAGGTAAGTTTAATACATGGCCTTATCATTCACAAGGAGACAGACCAATGTGAGGCGAAGTCAAGAATTCGTTTCCATGCATCTGAAAAGCTCCACTTTCAGTAGCAAACAACAGCTTTATGAGACAGCAGGTCAAAAGGCAGAGTAGGAGAGTTTTTTAAAAGTGCGTTATTGCTGCACTACTGCTCCAAAGGGACGGCAAATAAAAGCTTTCTGTGATGTATGTGTTCCTGCATCTCTGATAAAAGCAGAGTATGTTCGAGTGCAGGTTTATGACCTCCCACTGTGAGAGGGGTTAAGGCCAAATGCTGAGCTATTCATGCATGCACACGCAGCACTGTGCCCCCTGCTGGGTCCCATGGGTAGATTTAGATGAGCATTTTCTTTAGAGAGAAACTTTCTTTTGACCTAATTTAACCAAATCAGGGCAGAAAGAAGGAGAAAAGAGAGAAATAACAAAAAGAAAAGAAAATGGTAAAAGTAGAAGACAGAAAAAGAAGTAGAGAAGATAAACAGATGTGGAAGAAAAGCTATATACAGTTCACTTTTTTACTGGTTCCATAAAGATCTCTAAACCAATAGGGTCCAAGGTCTCTCCCAGTTAGTGGTTTGGTGTGCATTAAAGATTAACGGCTGTATTAAACATTTGTAGAACCTTACTCTACTTATAAAGCTAAGAAAAAGAGGCCAGGCTAACAAACGTTATCATTTATTTTTACTTTCACAGTGCTCAAATTTCCCTTTCACTCATCTACCCACTACAGGAAACCGACCCTAAACCTTCTGCTGTCGTCTGCCTTTGTGTCTTCAGGTGATGAATGTTTGACGCTAGCTTTAAAGGGTCGCTGTGAGAACCAGCTGAAGCATCGTCACACCGTGGCAGAAAGGGTGATTGGTAATGGTCGCATGACAGTTGGCACCATTACCACCGGCGGTGGTAACCGTCTGCTCGAGCGTGCCATTGGAGGGCTCTGTGAGGTCCACTTCCTCCCACTGGTCGTTGGAGTCAGAGACAGTAACCGAACACAAAGACTCAGATGTGTTGGTACGTACAGCAGGTCTGAAAAAAGCCCAGCTCAGTCCTTGCAACCAGCCTACACTAACCAGTTAGAGGGCATACTGTTCCCCCTTTTTTTTTT